CCTTAAGTATGTTTTCAGGTACACATGAGAAATCGCACATCTCCATCACCTATGACATGTTTCAGCCATCAAAGTGATGACAGTGATGACATACCCAGGGTTTTAGGAAGGTCGCAAGACAAGGCCTGAAGAACATACAAAAACACCATGAAAGGTGCCAGCGAAATGGACCTAACTGTTTAGTCGATTTCTAATAAATGTAATTAATCAGCCTGGAACCCTTGGGCCCAGGTGATGTAAGTCATGGGAGGAATCCTACTGTATCCTAAGATCAACACACCTTTAGCCCTGGCTTAAAAATGGGTGCCGTTGAAGATGTGTCGTTTTTTGGTATTTAACCATTCCAGAAAATAAGACAAGTGCATCAGAAAAGACAAACACCAATTAAGTCTCCTAATTTAGGAAATAGCACGCTCCCTTCCCCCAAAAAATGCATACCACCGTTGAAATCTTGATTTGGTTTAGTGTGCGATCTATTCAATTTGGGTCCCAAACATTGGGCTATTCAATACCTGCGGGTGGGATTGTACCAATGTTCATGATTTTAGTGACTTAGTCCCCTTAAACCCCCATGATTGCCGGGAAAATCCCCACTAGATCCCAAACGCGCTCAACATTGACATGAGTTGGTTTAGCCATTAAAATTGAAATCCACTATCTTCATTCTATGCCACTACATCCTCATTACATCCTACCAATATCTTCATGATATCTCCGCTGGGCTCCCTACAGCATCAACACGATGCAACTCGTGGACCTTCTCCGCGGCGGATTCTGCACGCGGAGCATCGCGGTGGCTCGGGCTCGAAGGACTGGGACTGGGTTTACAATACTTTTTGAAGTAGCCGCCCCAGGAAGTTATAGCTGTAGATGATGATTATTATTATTATGAATTATTCTTAATTATTACAGTATTCTATCTATTATATATACAGTATATATATTGTTACCAGGTTTGGGGATCAAAAGTGAATCAAGGTCATGGGGAACACATCAAGTAACACCAGCAGCGTTCAAAACATGACATGTCATTCCGTTGTACTAGTTGGTTCATAGGACTTCCCATATTGGATGGTGATATATGCCTACTCAAGTCGTGTTGAGTCAAGATTGGATCCAAAGATGGCATCGTGAACCAACGGAACTGGATTTGTCAAAAGGAAAATCATTTAGAACTGGACTTGATTGAGAGAGGTATCCATTTGTACCGATTATCCATTCATCACTATATATAATAGTAATCATCATCAGTGATGATGATAATAATGATGATGAATCGACCATCGTCGCACCTCTGCCGCGGCGCCAACTCTGCGCGGTGAGACTTTTGTGGCTGCGGGAAATCATGCAGGGATACATGCAGTCGGAACTGCAGGGTCTCTTCATGTCAATGTCATGTGGACATGTATATATATATATATACTTATATATTACGTAATGTTATATTCATCTGTATAATGTATATATATATATAAATACATATAGATAATACTGTATATGTATATAATTTAATGTGTCAATATGTTTCATATATACAACTATAACACTTTAGATCACATCGCACACACATGCAGTATAGTAGTACCATCGGATTGATATTTGCTCGTAAACATGTACAACCACTGACATTGTATTACTGTACATCTACTGTATACGAGTACTGTGGCAGATCTGACCATGTGGGTAGAAGTGAAGATCTAGAGATCGATCATAATTTTTCTGGTAATCAACGGCATGCCCGGCTGCTCAGGTACCCAAAGTCGACCAGTCCCCACATGTCAGATCTGTATAGATCTGTCACAATGTCACCTAGCCCCACGAGACAAGACAGTTTCCACCAAGTGCCTGAAATGGTTTCACTGAACACCAAAGCACACCATGAAAATCACTGGGTCTGGGAGAGTCTTGGAAGATCCTTTTCATCTCTTCCCTGCTTGGGTATGGCCCACAATTCAGTGCGGGAATATGGAGGGTTCTCACAGGCAAAGAACAAAGTCAATCTGCGCATCCCCATGGACAACTCTACTTTTAGAGGGGGGGGGTGGTAATACATTAAAATTACTAAGTAGAGCTAAGTATGGTTAAATGATAGGGTTTCGCGCTTCATCCCAGAGCAGCAAAAGGGGGCAAACATGGGTTTCAATCCAGCGTGTCCTTATTCCATACCTATGCCACAAGAGTCGGGCCCCGAACTTCGGGCCCCGAACGGGGTGCCCCCAGGCAACTTTGTAGCAAAGGCATGTACGTAGAAGCACATGTATGTGAATTCTGATGATGTAATCAAATGTTTTTTGGCATACCTGTGCCACAAGAGTCGGGCCCCGAATTTCGGGCCCCGAACAGATTGCCCCCAGGCAACTTTGTAGCAAAGGCATGTAGAAGCACATGTATGTGAACTCTGATGATGTAATCAAATGTTTTTTGGCATACCTGTGCCACAAGAGTCGGGCCCCGAACTTCGGGCCCCGAACAGTGCCCCCAGGCAACTTTGTAGCAAAGGCATGTAGAAGCACATGTATGTGAACGATGATGTAATCAAATGCTTTTTGGCATACCTATGCCACAAGAGTCGGGCCCCGAACTTCGGGCCCCGAATGGGGTGCCCCCCAGGCAACTTTGTAGCAAAGGCATGTAGAAGCACATGTATGTGAACTCTGATGATGTAATCAAATGTTTTTTGGGCATACCTGTGCCACAAGAGTCAGGCCCCAGGCAACTTGTAGCAAATACATGTGGAAGACTACGTATGTGAGCTTTGATGTGCTGACTCTCATTTCAGATGCCTTTGAGCATATCACTCAGGCATGAAGATGCCCGAGCAAACAAACGTTATCGTTTGAGCGAAGATCAATTCAAGAAGATTGCTTTGTATGATGGCCTGGTCCAGGATGATGATATATTTCCAATGTTTCGGCGGGTGCGACAATGTCCTTCTATGGTGTCTCCCACAAGGACCATCCTTGAATGATAGATGACATTAAATGACTGCCTTTAGTTATGGACTAGCTTTGCCTTGGCTAAATCCTGAGGATTTAAACGAGGCAGAGGGAAATATGGCGAGGCAACCTGTGTCGACTTGCTGAAAAGAGGCCTGCCTTGCTTAAATCCTCAGGATTTAAACGAGGCAAACTGGAATTTGAGGCGAGAAGTTTGCCTCGTTTAAATCCTGAGGATTTAAGCAAGGCAGGCCTCTTTTCAGCAAGTCGACACAGGTTGCCTCGCCATATTTCCCTCTGCCTCGTTTAAATCCTCAGGATTTAGCCAAGGCAAAGCTAGTCCATAACTAAAGGCAGTCATGTAATGTCATCTAGCATTCAAGGACGGTCCTTGTGGGAGACACCATAGAAGGACTAACAGCATTCAAGGATAGTCTCTGTGGGATTCAGATAGAAGGACATTGGCAATTGATTTAGGATTCTATCATCATCCCTGTCGGAGAAAGCCATTGTCAATTGATTCAATTCAAGGATAATCCTGGTAGGAGAAAACCATTGTCATTCCTACAGGTACTGACGTCCCGGGCGCCTTGTAGCTCACCTTTCAGAAGGGACACCAAAGGGGGCTGTGCCTTGCACGCCCTTCACTACTTTCTGATATGGCAATGAGGATCCGGGCCAAGTACCAAACCCGAGGGAAGGCGGAAGCAATGTGGCTAGGGTTGAAAGAAGCTGCATCACCATGCATCTCTGAATTCGGATCACTTCCCCGCTTTCTTGATGACTTGGATCTTCTTTCTTCTCTGACTCTCTCTTCTCTGACACTCTCTCTTCTGACTGCAGGATGAGACTTTGAATGGTGAAGAGCTGATTCCCATTTCCGTCTGGGAGATTGACAGTAGATTCTTGTTGCTTCCAGAGCACAGAGCCCGAGACGGAGCGGAAGGCTTGAGGGAAGAGGAGCAGTGGTACCCGGCAACCCGGCGACCCGGCAACCCGGCGACCCGGCAACCCGGCAACCTATAATAGAAAACGAGGAGAGTAGAGGAGAGAGAGAAAGAGAGCCGAGAGGATAGAGTAACATAGAGAAACAAAAAAGGCTGAGAGGAAAGAAATGGAATGAAATGGAAAGAGAAAAGGGGCTAAAAAGACATAAAAAGACTACAGGGAACAAAAAGAGAAAACAGGAAACAAAAGATAATGAAAGAAGAGGAAAAGATAGAGAATGCAAGAGTAAAGCGGAGGAACCCGGCAACAGAGGAAAAGATTATGTTAAATATATTTAAATATAATACCATACCAAAAGAAACCTTACATTTCCTCAGGTTTTCCAAATTGATGTATTATCAAATGGGGGTACACCCCCCCTCCAATACAAAAGTTAAGTCATGGGGATATCTGCGCTTTGGAGGCTTCAATAATCTTGAAGAATCTTGATATATCTTAAAGATTCTTAAAGCATCTATCAGCAAATGGTTGTTTAAGCGAATCGTTGAATCGTCCCTTTTTCTGGCAATAAAATTCCACATAAATCTAGCAGGCTCTACCTGACGCCTGTTTGCCTTCCCCGCTGCGACATTCACTTTTTAGGGCCGCAGCGTTGGCTGGCACCGTCATTGGCCGGCGCTGCGCCTGCCGTTGGAGAGTCATGTGGACTGCTGAAGGAAAAAAAATCGACTGAACCGGGATAGGTGGGGTTGGATAAAATCGAAGTCTATGATATATCTTATATATTTTTTGGGATATATCGATTGGGTAGGAAAAAAGGGTTCCCTTTGTTCCCTTTTCTAGTGCAAAACAGAATAAAGAAACTATCTTCTTATCCAACTAAGCAAGGTCCCTACCGAAGTTTGCCATGATTAGCTGCCACCTGCAGCCTTCTGTTGAAGGGAACTGACATTTATTCCACGTGTGAGAGAATATCTGAGAAAAAAACACATGGACATTGAAAAACCTCTGTTTACACCAGTTAATGGGCTAATGCTACTTCTGGTTTTCGTTTTTTCTGGAACTATACACCATTTCTTAGGACCCCAAACCATGGTGGGAATGGGCCGCGGGCCTTCAATAGACGCTGTGCGCCTTTCCGTGGAGGAGCTTGATGGCGACCAGCGCAAAGCCCACACACCTGGCTGTCACCGGGGGGTGGATCTGGACCGAGATCGAAGGGAAGCAAAGTGCTGGAGAAAGTCACAGAAACTGCTGGGTGAACTGGGTGAACCACAGATCCTTTTGGAGAGAAACCCAGAGAGAAGCAATCCGACTTCCTTACAGAGGCCTAGGGAGGGCATGTTGGGCATGAAAACTGTACTAAAATTAAGGTAGGGTCGTTTCACTATAGCATATTTTTGTACGCAGGCTGGCCAGTTGGGTGACATATACAACTGGTAACCCCATGGATGACCCAAGTGACAGCTCTGACTTGTCTTGAGCCGGAAAACGGTGAAAACCCAAATCCAATGGCCTTTTCGGACTTATCGTCATCGTCATGTTTACCATGAAAATTGCCAAAGGAGTGGCATAGCACCAATTCCCAACAAACCCAAATCATCTTAAGTTGGCTTCCCTCTGGTAAACTAACATAACTATTGAAAATCACCACTTTTAATAGGTAAATCAACTATAACTGGACCATTTTCCACAGCTTTGTTAGTCATTACCAGAAGGTACCAATCCTGAGGCTCCCCACATCAGAACCAACGTGGTCACATAGACCTTCGTGAGATCCGGGTCGACCTGCGCCCGGCCAGTTTTGGTGTGTAGTCAAGGGTGAAACCATGGAGTGGAAGGGAAAACGTGCAGGAAACCATAGAAACTACATGAAATTATATACAATCGACAATTATCGAACATAGTTTTAAGTTGCTACATTGTGATGGTGTTCACTATATAGTTCCCGTGTTATATGTCGAAAATAAGAGATTCCAGTGTCCAGCAAGATTTCATTTAAAAATCAGGCATGGGAAATGCATGAGCCGCCAGCCTTCGCAAAGGTTCCTTCCTGAAATACACTTTGACTACAGGAACTCCAAACTTGAGAATGAGTGCTTACAAATGCAAAGCTCAAAACTGGCTTTAAGAATCCGCATGAATCAACAAAATGGTTTGTAGAAGTCCATGAACATTCATGGACACATTGCTGCCATTTTTTATGTGTGCTCTATAGCAGCAAAATTATCTATTGGATTTTTCCATTAAAAAAAACAATCGTGGGAAACACCAACTTTCCACAACCAATGAAGCCCCTGATCTAGCTCCCCATCAAACATGTTCAGCCATCAGTTGTTCCGCTTAAAATCTCAATTTTACTGTATATCTACCAACAATTTGAGTGGACCATCCCCTTCAAAACCCCCGCCCAATCGACAACGACGCGAAACAAACGCACGCCTCCATGGTCCGGAAGATCAACCTCTGAAGCATGGGGTCTGTCCTGCGAGGGAAAATGATGCGAAGAACATGGCATGGCAATATTATGATAATATTACAATATATTATATATAACTATGGGATGATATCATTTATTATGACCTAATATATAATTATGGGATGAGATCATAAATGTTTCATTTTCCATGAACATATGTAACATATGCCATCCCATCAAACATGTGGGTTTAACCATCAGGTTGACTATCAAACACGGAGGTATTACCATCAAAAATAGGGGGTTACATGGTCTAATCATACCGAAATGGAGATGAATATAGCCAATAGGAATTTAATTATCAATTGTGTAGGGGGATGGGAATTTATAATATTCCCCAAAATTGACATATTTTTTTGATGCAATGGTATAAATGCCTTCCAAATGTGAATGATAACATGTATGTTAAATATATATATATGGTGCAGCGTTGGCCACCCCCCCCCCCCCCCCCCCCCAATGGGTATGGGTGGACAGTATCGTCTGGTTTTTCTGGCCCCCCCCCCCCTGTGGCCTGTGGTGGTGGTATGGTTCTTCTGGTCCCCCCCCCCCCTGTGGCCTGTGGTGGTGGTATGGTTCTTCTGGTCCCCCCCCCTGTGGCCTGTGGTGGTGGTATGTTGGTATGTTGGTATGTTGGTATGTTGGTATGTTGGTATGTTGGTATGTTGGTATGTTGGTATGTTGGTATGTTGGTATGTATGTATGCATGTATGCATGTATGTATGTATGTATGGAATGTAAGGTAAGGTAAGGTAATGTAAGGTAAGGTAATGTAATGGTATGTATGCATGTATGTATGTATGTATGTATATACACCACCACAGGGGCATCATACCCCCCCCCCATCCCATGGGGGGGGGGTGGGAACACGGGACACGGGACCATATATATATATACATGCGAGGATTCCAAATGACCCCAACTAACCATCATTTATGGCGACCTCATGGTGAGATCATTATATTATTATCATATGCCCAGAAGAATGGAAACCGCTGCGACATGTGAAGGATATTGAAGGGAAACATGTCATCCACATAGAGGGTCTTCGTGTAGGTCTTCGTTGAAGCAACTCTGGCAATGTGCCAATCCACTAGACATCCTGACAATCTGCCATGCGTGGAAAATTTAAAAACACAATATGGCAAATGTAGAAATGAGGATCGTGTAAAATGATCTAAAAGGGCTATCATAGCCACTAAAAATTGGAGGTTACCATAAATCGGTGGTACCCCCAAATGGATGGTTTATAATGGAAAAAAACATAATTAAAATGGATAATTTGAGGGTACCCCCATACCGTAGATAAATGGACCTATCTAATCGTTATATGTCATTATTATGTGGGTATAATGAAAAATCGACCAGTGTGGGCCAAAAATGATTTTGAATGCTTTGGTTGTAATTCCCTTCAGAAAACTGCAGATCAGAGTGACGGGCAAAAAAAAAACAGCACTGCAATGGACAAACAGAGCCGTCACCGTGGGGAGTCCCAACGTACACAATGTGAGACCTAGTGATGCATCCATAAAAAATTACACATCATGATGCATCAGAATCCGCCGATGCAATGGGTGCGCATATTGTGTGCATGCGTTTAATTGCAACATTTGAGTATTAAATATATTCATCCTTGAATTGAGCGGCCATGAATATTGTATGTTTTTGTAACACATACACACACACGCCAATCTGTGCGCAATGTTACCTTTTTGCATATGCGACAAATGAGGAGATATCACCAACAATATTGTGAGGATGCAATCCATATAATAGTAGAAATAGTGTCCAATTTCAAATGACCGCAACCGTCATTTGTTTTTTGGATCCTCACCGATAGTCAGACCAAAAAAAAATAGACGTCGCTTGGAACCACCAAACTCGAAACAATGCAGGTTATATACGGTTGAGCATAGTTGAGATATCTCAGGTTGAGCCGGAAGGACCATATCTTTGTTTCATACCACATTGAGGGTGTGCCTGAAAAAGGGTATGCCCTTTTTAATGTCATCTATAAATGTGAGAAAATGAGATGTTATGTTTTTCGGCAATTGTCCCCAGCATTTTCAGACAAACCCACCTGGATGATATTCCAACGCATCCCAAATAAAAACATGTTTGTATATTATTTTAATATAAATAATATATATGTAACGTGTTCCCAGTAGTACCGCACCAGGTGGTGGCGGAAGTTTCAAGGATAGGACACTATAGGAGAAGTGAGTTGTTGTCATGCATGGATGGCAGAGCGAATCCACTGATGGACCGAAAGGTGATTGGAGTTGTGCTTGTCGAAGTGGTTGCAATGGTTGCAGTGGTCACCTCACTCACAACTCCTGGATGTAGTGTGGCGTAGTGCAGAAGTTGAAGTTGTAGTTGTAATTGTGGTTGTAGTTGTAGTGGGTTGATGTTGTTGAAGTTGCAATGTTGTAGTTGTGGTTGTAATTGTAGCTGTAGTTGTAGCGCAGCTGAAGTTGTAATTGTTTTAACTGTAGTAATTGTAGTAGTTGCAGTAGTTGTAGGAGTTGTAGCTGTAGTTGCAGTTGTAGTTGTTGTAGCATAGTGTAGTGGTAATTGTTGTTGTTGTTGATGATGAAGTTGATGTTGTTGCTGTTGTAGTAGTGTAGTTGAAGTTGCAGTTGAACTTGTATTTACAAATGAAATGTAGTTGTAGTGTAGCTGAAGTTGTAGTTGTATTTGCAGCTGTAGTTGCAGTTGCAGTTGTAGTGTAGTTGTAGTAGTTTGCAGTTGTAGTTCCAGTTGCAGTTGTAGTTGCAGTGGCACTTGTAGTTGCAGGTGTAGTAATTGTAGTTGAGGTTGTAGTTGAAGTGTAGTTGAAGTTGTAGTTGTGGTTGTAGCTGTAGTTCTTGTATTTGAAGTGTAGTTGAAGCGTAGTTGAAGTTGTAGTTGTAGTGGTTGTGTAGTTGTAGTTGAAGTTGCAGTTGTAGTGTGGTGTGGTGCAGTTGCAGTTGTCTATGTTTCTGTCTCTCTATATATCTGTTTATCTATTTGTCCTCCTGTCTTTCTATCTATCTATCTATCTGCAAGTTTGAAAACGAAGCTATTCTGCGAGACTTCCTCAATTTTTGAACTTGACAACATCAAAAACGCAGCAATTCTGCGAGACTTCCTCAACTCTTGAACTTGACAACGTCAAAAACGAAGCTATTGTGCGAGACTTCTTCAAGTGTTTTCAAGTTGACAACATCCAAAACGAAACAATTCTGCGAGACGTCCTTCAAAAATGTAAAGTTGAGTGCAAAGCTGATGGCCTCGTACCAATGCGTTTTGCGATTTTTCCACTCCACCTGTCTAAACTACTGCGCCTGCCACGAAAAAGTGATGCCAGGTCATACGAAGTGCTGCACCTGTCACGCAAAATCATCTTAGCAAACCCGAAGATTTCATGCTCCAAAATGCAACCCCTCTCAGGAAATCTCTGCCCTGATCTCCTAACACATCTAACTCATGTGTCTCTTGTACTGCGCCTGCCTCGCGAAATGCATCTTTGCAGAAACTCTTCAAATGTCCCACGCCTGCCATCGTTTTTGAAACTGCTACAAAACCCTCACATCTGGCTCACTTTTGGCAAGGTGCGCAATCCCCTGCCCCTGCCACGCGAAACGACATCTGGACGTGCAAAAGTGCTCCGTACCCCTCAGGGTGTTGCACTTTTGACTTCAAAATGTGCTGCGCACCACAACGGCGTGCACTTTGTCAGCATCTCAACTTCCAAAAGTCGTCTGAACATGAGGTGTTTTGTACATTTTGGCTTTCGAGTGTGCTTTGCGCCACAACTTTGTGCACTTTTTCGACATCTCTACTTCCAAAAGTGGTCCGAGCATGGTGTGTCTTGTACATTTTGACTTCCAACAAACGTGCTTCGCGCCACAGCGGCGTGCAACTTTTCATCTCTCATCTGGCCAGATGGCTCCGCACCCGCCGCTTTAGCGAGCCTACTTTTCGACCCTCGGAGCCAAAAATCATTGGAAAAACACAGTGTTTCACGACTTTCCTACCTTTTCGCGCAGCTGCATCTTCGTTCTTCTGACTCTTTCTCTTCTCTGATCTTATCTCTTTTGCTCTTCTCTTCTCTGACTCTTCCCACCTCTGCTTTTCCATCTGTCCATATTGTCGGAAGTTTGACTTCTAAACTTCCGTTGCCACTGTATTCCAGTCAATTCCAGTACTTCAGGTGAACTATGGCAATCAACTGCAGTATTTCAGTGGAGATGGGAAGATGGCAACAGAACTATGGCAATAAATGTCACATCATTGTATATGAGCCGCGGACTTTATTTGGTAACGCAATTGACGAGATGTTCCTACCTCATTCTCCAGTCCCGTAGCGTTTTTTGGGATCTCACCTCGTTTTCCAACACCGCGCTTGCTTTTAGTAGCTAAATGCTTTACAGGAAATGCCTCCCTCGTTCTCGGGGTGTTCCTACCTCGTTTTACATCCTAATTACGATGTTTTCCGCAAACTGGGGTACGCCCCAATTAAAAGCTGCCGTTCCCAACACTAACGGAATACTTTATGTTGAACTATCCAGATATACAAAAAAAACATAAAAAAACTATATACAACATCATGGTAATTTATCAACATAATTATATGTAGTGTTAACATGTTTTAACGTATTCCAGCTTACTTTAGATAGACTTACATCATGTAACCTTATAATTTCCAGTTGCCAATGTCCAGCTCAGCTAATAGCTGTGGCACTTTTTTTTCGTGCCCATCTCCCCATCGAAAAACGGCTCCGCCTCCGAAATTCCACAATGGCCAAAAGCTTCACAGCGTACCTGCGTGACAAGACGCTAAACCAGGGGACGACTGGGTCAAAGTTGTTTGTGGTGATAGAAATTGAGTTTACCCTCTGGTAAACTAACATAACTATTGAAAATTGCCCATTTATAGTTGATTTACCTATTAACAATGATAATTTTCCATAGTTATGTGACAGTTTACCAGAGGGTACCACCAAAGATGGTGGTTTTAAGAAACAATCACATTCCGGTAGTCCAACATGGCTCAATGGAAATCCATCATCTATTTCGATGACCTCAATTAAGTTCACACCTTGCCATGTTTGATGGTACCAGAGAGTAGATAAATAAGTTACCAATATGACACAAACCCTGCAGGATATACTTCGGGATATTTTTTATGTGCACTTTCCCCATGCCTTCCACGACCTACAGATCAACCTCCCCCGACGACAAAGGCACTGGAGGAAGCTGATGTACTGCATCCAGCGTAGAAACTGTGGAATCGCCTGCACCGGGATGAAGGTACCTGGCCGACGACGTTTTTGACACATTTTTTTGGGACGGTGGATGGGGGGAATATCAACCCACTGGTGTTTTTATAATGTGATTTCAATCGAAATGCTGGGGATGGATGAGGCTGAAGCTTAGGATCCTAGGATCCACCATGCCCAATGACTTACCATTGGGCGGGATTGAAACCATCGGTGGTTTATGACGTTGCTTTATAGCAACATTATATATATATATGTATGTATATATATGTAATATATTATATATATGTAATATATTATATATATATATATGTTTTAATTATATATCTATATATTATATATATATAATATATAGATATATAATTATATATGTATATGTATATATATCATATATGTAATACTCTGAATAACATTGATATTTTGCTCACTGTACTTGAGTTCATCCCCGGTCGGTTTCACCTGACATCAGCAGCTGCGGCACGAAGACCAAAGGACCAATGGCTCCGCTCTCGCGCGGGAAACGAACTAAACCTCAGCACAGGCGGCCTGCGGCCTACCCATGAAATGGTCACACCGGGATGTACCCTCTGGTAAACTGTCACATAACTATGGAAAATCACCATTTTTAATAGGTAAAGCAACTATAAACGGGCCATTTTCAATAGCTATGTTAGTTTGCAGGAGGGTAGGTGATGAAACACACGATGAAACACATTGTGATTGCTGATGAATTCGGATTACTACCGGGTTCCCGGTATTTTTTTGTTTATGACAATCATTTACATCATTACATATCATTACTATCTTCACTAATAATACTACGTATAGTTACTACTGTTGTAGGAGGAACTTCCGCAGCAAAACTCACAAAACAGTTCATCTTGTGCAATGATTTTTCCCATCTCCTGATTCATAAGCACCTGGGCTCCTCTACACTCGACAGGCTGGGATCACGTCTTTAAGCTCTCATTTCTGCGTAATGGACACTACGTTGTGGGCTACACCAGTCATAAGATGTCGTACGTTGGTATCACAAACCATACATCTATGTCATCATTACATCATTCTCGTGCCATCATTATTGTCAAGCTGTGATTGCTTGTGAATCAGGATTACTACTATCGTTACCATTCGTACTCTATCCAGCCTATCCACCATCAAACCTAGCCTAGTTCAAAACCAACTTGACTAATCTGGAGATGGTAGACGTGGCATTTTTTCGCAAGGCAGCAAGCTGTGGAACTGCTTAAGCATGGAACTCAAGATGGTTAAAGTAGCTAAGAGATACCGGGGACACAATAATGTCAACCCTGGATTAATAAACCCGCTAGGCTATTTGATTGGGGGGGTACCATTTAAGTATATATTAGATTGTCACTATTTGGGGGGTACCCCTTAATTAATATACCACGGCTTATTAATCCAGGGTTGACATCAAATCGGTGAAGCAAGCCTTTCCCACACGACAGTCCTGCCACATCGTACCAGGGAGGAGACTCCCTGGAACCGTCCAAGCAGCAACCGATCAGCAGAGAGAAGGAAACAGCGCAGGCATTCAGCAAACAGACCTCAGAATGCCACCGAGCAGAAAAAAATGGTGTCCCAGGTGTCTTATATCTTTCCAATGGACTAAATGTGAGGTATCTACACTTTACAGGAAACCCTGGTTTTGAGTTTGGAGTTTAAGAAAGTGATTTCTTGTAAATGCTCAACCTTTTTAACCTTTGTGCTGGATTAACAAAAATGGATGGGCCAGCTGTGGAATTATCTGGAACAGATAAACCAAACTTCACAATTCACCCAAACAATTCAACTACGAATTCTTCTTATATATGTGAATGGTTCAAGCCCAGTACTTCTTTGGAACTTTGGAACTCAACATAATTCAACCACTAAAAAACAAAAAAAGCTCCCTGGGTCCCAGCTACAAAAAAGGCCACTGGCTGGCGATCACACCCCAATGGATTGGTAGTTTCAACGATTTCCAACCACTATCAATGAATCTCAATGGTTCCCAGTCATGATAGTCGATTTGGGGAATGTCATTGATAGTCACTGGGAATAATTTAATAATAATCCCATGTCTGAATGTCTAGACACTTGGAAGCAAGAACAAATCCGAACGCTCAAAGAAAAGCAGAAAATCTCGGACCATGCTTGGTGGCTCATCCCACTTAGTAAGTGGGTTAGTTCACCCAGTTATAAATGGGATAAGTAGGGTTAATCCACTTATAACTGGGGTTATAACCCACTTACGAGCCGTGGGATGAGCCACCAAGTGGCCAGGCAAGTCATGGCAAGTCCCACCCTCAGCAGGTCGCTGGGGTGTTGCACTGTGGCCCACATCTCCCAGAACTCGCCCTGAAACCTGCCGCAGAGATGAGTAAACATGTTAACAAAATAATGGTACACCAAAAAAAAGTGTGATGCTACAAAAACTCGATGTTCATTCATGTTCATTCATGTTCCCAAGTAGGAATTCAAATGGCTACATGTCATACATGACCAATCTGTTCGATATTTCGATATATTTCGATATCCTGCAACCAGTATTTTACAACAACAGTTTGGTATCATATGCATCATAAATCAGTAAAATACTGTTATCATAAATCCCAGGCTGTTATTGTAAAATACTGGTATCATATTCGAATACTGTTACCATGATTTTGATGGGCAGCCAAGATGGGCATCATAAATCAGTAATATCCTCACAGCAAAATCCCCGGCTGCCCATCTTGGTCGAGCGTCAGCGAATGTTGGCCCATTTTTCTCGTACAGATCATGATTGATGCTAAGATCATTGTCATAGCGATTGTTTTTGGTTAACTACCTCAATAGTGAATCGAAGAGTGAATTGTTTTTCAGTATCAGGTGTTCACCTAAACTTTCCAGTATAACCAAGTGTTAGGGGCATTTAGGGACTACATCACTGTAGCGACTTAGTCCCTTCATCACATCATGGCTGGGAATTGGTGCATTTTTTCATCACCTGTCAGTGGCCAAAAAACATCACCAGATTTGTTGCTACAAATTCCAGCTAAAACATATGAGTCACATTAGGAGTCAAATATTCAAGTCATTATTACTCACCAACTAAAAAGTAATCCATCCAAAATAACTCAAAATATGTTTTTTTGCAGCCAAATGTCAGCCAAAATTGCTAGGTTTTCCACCTTCGACCCAAAACCGATAGATTGAGATCTCACTGATGGCCTGGGGATAGATCGAGACCTATTATAACACCATATGTTAGCAGGATGAACATTCATAAATCCCAGCTAACTACAGGGTGCTGAATGGTGCTGACCCGCGGCCAAATCGCATTTTTCAGATAGTAACTATCATATATAGTGCAATATCTCCAGATTAAAACGCATGTCCGTTCTTGAATCCCCAAAATATCTCAATTCAGATCCACGATTTGGCCATAATTACCGTATTTCCTGGTTATACATTGCAGAAGATCTCCAATTTTCCCTTTTTGAGAGATTTTCCCAGAAAACATTTCAGATGTTTTGATTCATCATGATTTCTCAGATGATATTCTTCCAAAGACTAAGAAGTCGTTTAGATGTTCCACCAGATCATTCCATCGTTCCATCACTTCCTCTATGATCCAATGCCTCATGTAGTGATGCGAAATGCTCAAAGCCAATAAGGCTTGCGCCGCACCCAGTGGCACCTTCAGGAGCAATTTTCGGAGTTGCTGGGTATTCACTGGCTCAAAATTTCACCAAAGAATTGGATCAAAATCCCTAGAAAATGGGACTTAACTAGCTGAAACTAACTAAAACATGGGACTTAAATGCACTTGTATAAATTGTCTTAAACTCACGGAGATGGACTGTGAGATGACTCAAAACTTGCAAAAAACACGTGTTGAAACATGGTGAAAAGCAGAAAAGGATATGTTGGACTATGTTGCTTCAACCAATGATTCACTGCTGGTTTACTGTTTGTTGAACTGTGTTGGAATCCCAAAAAACCGTTACGGGAGGTCAGTATCACTAACTCCGACCAGGTACTAGTTGATTGGAGCATCCAATGAAAATTGGAAGGAACATGAACAGATAAACCTGAACAAATTTACATGAAACAGATTGAAACAGATTCAGTTGAAAAATGGATCTTGGAACATCAGTTCCACAAGAACCAATGGAAAGCGCGATGAAGACACCAACCATTTTCACCTCTGTAATGAATGGTTTAGGAAGTTGAGAGCGTCTAAAAAGCTGGGCACCAAAGTTTGATGATGCTTCACCACTCTGGTAGATATAGAAATTGCCGGCGAAAAGAGAACTGACTGAGTTTTTTGTTCAAAGTATTCTGCCAAGGTTACTGGGAGTATGTGTGAATAAATGGCTTTGCTGCCGTCGTACAAGAGGATCTAAGACAGGATCCTTTAAGAAAAAAACACATTTCCCAGGGTCTGTGAGGATGCACATTGTTTTCTATCAAGTCATAGCAGTTCTTGTTTCTTTCCTTCACTTTTCTACACAATGCTCCTTTACTTGAAGGATTACAATGAAATTGGCTCCGGAAGTTTATCATAACCCCAGCTACCAAGTTCCTACCCCTAGGCTTTTTGAGGATCACTTAACGAAGTCTCAGTGGTTGCCCAGGATCCATCCAACGCCGTGCTCAGATTTTTAGTGGTACATGTGAAAACATATATGACAACCACCATACTTAACGGTCATATGACGAGTCATATCACCACGTTTCATGTTGTTGTTCAATGGTTACATGCTGAAGGTCGTCGGGGAACCTCCACGAACATCTTGGACAAGAAATAGGCCAAAGTGCCATACCTCGGAGACCAGGGTGACATCAGACGGTGACCGGGGTGACCGGGGTGACCGTGACATCATCCCGGCCATCCACATGCAAAAAATCCAAGATGGTACTTAGTGTACAGGACATATATTTCTATATATTTCATTATATTTCTATATTTCTATATAATCTAATTATATATTTCTATACCGGAAGATTTCTGAGAGGTAACAAGCAATTTACCGAACATGATTTCTGACCAGGATCCAAACAACGTCTACACATCCTCCAGGAGTTGGGTCAGCTCCCAGGAAAACCAGGATTCTTATGAGTGTTTATCCTCCAAACGTAAGGGATCGTAAGGGTTTATACAAGTCCGCTTTTTCTTTTTAATGGAATTGAGGTGTATTTTCCCTCCCCAAAAAAAGTCAAAGCCAAACAAAATGACAAATCATTTAGAGATTCCCAAATAAAAACCCCTGCTGGATTCGTTTCGTGTTCCCTTTGTATCACCAGTTTCGGTCGTTTTCGGTGCTTTTTAAAAACAGGGAGACATTTAGCGGTGGTATCCCATCAGCATTTTCTCATCAAAATCGCAGAAAAAAACTGGTGGAAAAAACACCAGATGCAACAGGTCAGGGGATGGGTCAAAACCTAGATATTATTACCATAGTTGGGGGAATAACCATCCATTCACCAGCTATGACCTTAGGGTACTAAAGTTTAGGTCCCAGGGTTTTGACTACCCATATGAAAACAAGGATAGAAACTCCACAGGATCTTCAACGCAGACAAGGCTCATGTTGGAGGAGTACTCCCTGAGAAAAACCTCGGGTTCCATCGACGGGATGGTCGCTTTTCCATCCAATCCCTTTCTCCCGTTCACATGAAACACCCCCCAAACCCAAACATGTGTACCCTCTGGTAAACTATGTAACATAACTTATGGAAAATCACCATTTTCAATGGGATAATCCACTATAAATGGTCATTTTCAATAGCAATGTTAGTCATTACCAAAGGGTAAGTCCCATACTGAATCATGGTTTCTGGGGGGGTATCTAATATTCAGGGATGCGATCGTGTTGGATATTGGTTATGATTGTTGATGTTTTCCTTCACGGACGACTCATGCATTTGCGAAACGCCCTAAGTCCCAAGGCCCAGATCCTGATAAGGCCCAGAGTTGCAGTGTGGAAGATCATGCAACTGCTTCGGATCGTGTGCGACAGGATTTCATGTGTAGTGTCTGCTAAGATCACCGTTTTCTGGGAGATCAACCCTGTTTCAAACATCTTCAAACCACCCAAATGTGACCTTTAACCACCCAAAGAGATGGTGAAACATTTCGGGGATCTTTGGAAGATGGGGCTTCCCACTACGCGTTCCAACAGTTCATCACAAGGGGTCCACTTTGAAGTGTCTAAAGAAATCTGTTTGCCTTCATGACTTTTCTTGGGTGATCTTGGGTGCACCTGCACATAAAAGTGGAACGAACCGCTGGGAAGGAACATCAAATGCGATAGGTTGGAATTTCAATTGCATCATTTCTATAACCCATAGGATCCATGTATGCTATATATGGTAACATTTACCATCAATATACCCCAAATGTTAGCATATATGGCATACATGGATCCTATGGGTAATATAATGACATCATATACATCCATATATATATATACATACGTTGCTTCCGTTCTGCAATGTTCACATCATTTAAAAAAACAAATGATTGACCCCCGCAAGCGTTGAGAAAACACCTGACCTTCGGTGGTGCAGTTGTTGGACTTCAAGATTCCCATCTGGGACTACCTGGACAGGTGATACCCTGGCGCAGTCCAAGTGACAGGGCGTTCCAAAGGAAAACTGAGAATCGTGGGCTGAGAGGCCTCAGGCAGTGATGGGAAAAGTATGGAAAAGTGACAGTGTCAACCCCTAGAATTTCTGAAACATGTTATGAAACCATGGGTTAGCCTCTGGTAAACTAACATAACTACTATGGAAACTCACAATTTTTAATGGGTAAATCAACTATAAATGGCCATTTTCAATAGCTATGTTTGTTTACCAGAGGGTAGTTTCCGGTGCAGATTTTCCATTCAAGTGAACTGAATGAACTGAGGAATGGGAAGTGGTTGATGGGAACATCATATGGAAATATATGACCACAACAATTACACTGGGATTCAACTGCAGTACGGATAAGGACTTGACTAGAATAGATCCAGAAAAAAAAACATGGGAATTCAACTGCATAACAAGGAATATACCCAATTATAAATATATGGGGATGGGTCAAAACCCTATCCCCCTGGTGAACATAAAAATAGCTGGTAAATGGATGTTCATCCCTCTAAAAATGGTATTATATAATAGGTATTGATTCATAGCCATATAAATACCCATTATAATGGTTATAGGCCATGGGTATATCCAGAGTGGATGACCGGTCCCTCATATGGCGCCATCTCTCCACCTTTCCGCCCAGCAGCACTAAACATGGCGGTGAAGCCCACCTGAACCACTGCCTGGCAGTGAAACACATGGGCCATGGCGAAAATCCATGAGTTTAGCCTTCTTAAACTATATGAAATTACCAGATGGTATCTACTAAACTATATGATCTAAGGATATCTAAGGTGATGTTCTGTAGATCTAAGTGTGAAATTACCCGAAGGTAGCTCAAAATGCTTTGGATGAAACATGTTGGATGAATTTTGGGGGATGTCTACAATAGAGTCGATAAGACCGACTAGTTTCAGCTGCAAATCCGTCAAACGAGTCGTCCAAGCCACACTCGTTTACAGTAGATTGAGGAACGTCACGCCCTGGACCAGCAGTTTGCTTCCCTCCATGTCTTACTGTTGTTTTAAGTAAGAATAAAGTGGTGTGTCTGAACATGGGGTATGGCCAGCAAATTGCAACTTCAATTGGGGATCCTATGAACAATTTGTCAGTTCTCATCAAATTTGAGGGTTTTTCAATTTTCAGGCAAACCCATTTTCTGAAATGCACCCAATGGTGCCTTGTAGTGATACTCGATCTCTTGCTGCAACTGCTGTAGCAGTGTCACCTCATCTGCATAGACAATACGCCTCAGCAGCGGATGATCATCCCCAATGAGGAAAAGTGAAGAACAACTAACCAACATTTTTGAAAAATCTCATTGTCTGGTTGTAAAACCATCCTGGTATATACTTTGTGTATATATATACCTAACACTAACTAATAGGATAGAACGGTAGAACTAATAAGTCTGCGCTTGTCCGATATCCGCAATACGGGTGTGTCTGAAATTCCATAGTTTATCATCAATGTCCCTGGTGAAATTGACATAAATTGACATGTGTTGAGGACAAGCACCAGTTCCAGACATACCACCAGGTTGGAATATGGGAAATGTTGAGGGCACCCACAGATTTCGCTTGAAATTTCCGAATTGAGATGTGTGGAGGATCATCCCACGAATCGTAAGGGATTCTTATCTGCTTTCCAAGCCTAGCATGTCCCGGTTTCCTCGGGGCCATCCCAAAAACATAACTGGTTGGTGGTTGAGCCTACCCCTCTGAAAAATATGAAAGTCAGTTGGGATGACTATTCCCAATATATGGAAAAATAAAATTATATAAAATTCATGTTCCAAACCACCAACCAGATAAAATGGGTGAACAACTGTGGTTACTAACCCGTGAAAAACCCTGGGAGCATCCTCCAGGTAGGCATTGTTCAAAATCCATAATCACTGGAGAGTATCCATAGTATCCCATCCGGGTCCCATCCCCATGATATCTCCATTTGTATCACCATTTTAAAGCATATCAGATCTGGTTGGTGGTTTTAACATGTTTTAACCATCTTGAAAAATATGAAGAGTTCGTCAATGGGGTTGGGATTATATATCCCATATATGAAATGGAAACTAATCCTTAAGTGTTTGAAACCCCAAACCAGATATGGGTTTCCCTGAAAATAGGCTATCCCACAGGCGCCAGGACGGTTTACGTTGATTTTACTATTCACTATCCATATAGCCATAACATGCCATAGCCATAGTCATTGGGGGATCGCCATGGTCAGACCCCATGACTCAGGAGGAAATCATCCATTTGGTACTGTCTGTGGGGCCCCCAAGTTATGTCTGTTGGTTTAGATTCGCCCCAGCAACTAGTTCGTTATAGATATACACCATAAACATTCCATAAACCATAGTGAAATTGGAGTTATGTTCACCAACTGTTCACGCTATCGTGGCCGGGGGCCGCACATTGGAGGATTGGGGTCTCCGCATTTCAGGGTTAACCCTCTGTTCTTTGGGTTTGTCCGAAAATCGGCTACCGAAATTAGCTATCCATTCCTTAAGATCCTCATTTTCTCGAAATGAAATATTGTATTTTTGTGGCTATAATGTGGTTAAAACCATCATAAAGCCCCAAATCACCATAAATGGGTGGTATAAACATGTATAAACCATCAACATGGGGTGGTTTATGGCATTGTTTTACCCACATTACACCATTTTCAGACCCCATATCTTCTGAAAATGGAAACCATTCAGATCCGGCCCGGCTCTTCGCCCCCGACTGCAGCCGCCGAAGGCTGGGATGCACGAGCAACGTGTGCAAGGGGCCTGCGAACGGGATTTATAGGGATGGATGACCATACCTTTACCACCTATACCACCTATACCATGTTTTGGCCACGATAACCAAGATTAAGGATTTCGATGGATTTCGAGTATAATTGGGACATATTGGGACTATGAATATTGTGGGAATCCACTGAGTCCTCCAACCATCGTTGCCATAGTTCCATGGCACAGCGAAAAATGGGGCGTTTTGTGCATCCCACGGGTCTTCGGAGAGGGGATGGGGCGATATCACCAGCCCAAGATGGAGAGCCAAAGTTGATCCCATACCCATAGGATCCATGTATGGTATATATGCTAACATTTGGGGTATATTGATGGTAAATGTTACCATATATAGCATACATGGATCCTATGGGATACTCGAGTGTTTGGTACAGCTGCATTAATTCGACCATATTGGCGCTTCATACGTTGTCTTATGTTACCGGTAGAGTTGCCCATCACTTCAAAACATGAACTGGGGTCACATATAATCCAGAAAGGTATAGTTGGGTTGCACTGCAAAGCCAAAGATTTATTGTTGGTTAAAGAATCTTAAAGACTTCAATACCGGGCCATTAGTTATATTAGGTGGAAGATAGAGATTTGGTCTCACCAATCTGAACAATCCCAAGAACTTTTTGTTAGGGAGCTGGTTGGTGGTTTGAACTCTGAAAAATATGAAAGTCAATAGGAAGGATTATCCCATATATTATGGAAAATGTTCCAAAATGTTCCAAACCACCAACCAGGGAGTCTCTTGAATCTCTTGAATCTCACCTGGGAACTTGGCATTTCATCCCTAGCGTTTGCTTCGCCAGTGATTTTTATAGACTTCACCCCAGACTCATAGACTGCAGATAATCTGGTTGGTGGTTGAGCCCTAGCCCTCTGAAAAATATGAGTTCGTGAGTTGGGATGATGACATTCCCAATATATGGGAAAATAAAATGTTCCAAACCACCAACCAGGTATGTATATATATATATCATTAACGTGGGTGCACCTGATGAAGCAGAGTATCACATGCTTACAGCAAGTTGCGAGCTTGTGTAAACCTGAATGAAAACAATGGTTTTTATAAAATGATGAGTTTTCTTGTCTAACTGACCATGTCCGAAATTGGATTAGTTCATTGTCTTTATTCCTGGGTCCCCCTTAAAAAATCATGGTTGATCTATGTTGATTCTCATTCTCCCCATAAAAAAAAAAAACATGACCAAACCTATCCAAACGTATCCAAACTATCCCCAGTTTCACACACACCCAGCTGTTGCGGTCTTCAGTTTCCACCTTTTCGTCTCAGCTTCTGCAGGATGGGATGTTGCCCCACGCAACTGAAGACCTGGTGACGCAGCTGTGCGGCGATCATTCATATGGGCTGTCTGAACATGGTGCATATACCCAAATTGGATATGTCAACTATATAAAACAGGAGACATATCCGCTTTAGTCATTCCCATATATATATATATATATATACACATATTTATATGATGAACATGTTGCACAAACCCAACTGAATATATTATATATACGTATATAATCCCATATAGGAACATTGTGATGAATCAGCGGACATGTCAACTGTGAATGTGTGTGTGTGTGCGATTTGTTTACTGCACTGATACTGGGGAACATATCGGAACAGAATGACAGAATTCCATAGCCATTTGGTCATCAACTTGAGGGTGACTCCCAACTAGTAAGTGGTTAATCCATATTATGTATCCATTTTGTTTGATGCCATCTTCAACTGGGGAGAACTAGGGTAACTATATCGAAAAAACAAATAACTGGCTAAATCAAATCCCATATTAACCCCATTTTTCAACACCCAGCACTGCTCGCTTCCAGGAACTAATGAGAAGAGCATCGTCAGAAAGGCTGTGAGCACAAAGCGAAGCCTCAATGGATGGATTTCACCAACCTACCGACAAATAACTTGGGAATGTAACAGATCTAAGCAGCAAACATCAGGATTTACCAACTGACATGAGGCTTGATATAGGTGATTTCAATGGAGTTTTTTGGTATGTAACTTGGTTTATAAAATTTTATAAACCAACAACGAAAAACTGGGTTGAGCCACCCCCCGGAGATATGTCAGGTTTCAATGGATGATGCCGCAGTTACCAACAAAAATTGGAGTTCAGCCTATTTCAGCCTACCAAGATTGTGAGTGATTGTTCTAATCATGAAATTTTAAGGATTTACCAGCAAAAATGAATGTACCAAGTCTTTACAAACACAAAAATGGTTTTGAAGCACAAAACTGATGCATGTTCTAACCAGCATCAAGCAACACTTGCCATCACCAAACAAATGGCCGCACAATCCAGCAACATTGATGATTTGGCTAACAATGATGGGTCGTTGGCACAGAAATATTGACCCAAATACCAAAGGTTCAAATGTATGGTGCTGACTCGTGACTCGTGACTCACCTTAGATTGCCTCCAAGTCCATCCTCAAGCGATCATTGTGGGAACACCATGAAAAAACCTACCATTTCTGATCAATTTGGGGATGGTTTTTTTTTGGCTTTAAGAAGGCTTACCACATCATATATTTAGTTCACTTGGTGACTTTTGATGATTTTTGCTGCCAAGTGTATCCAAGTGTCTCATTTTCATCAGGTATTCCCAAGTTGAATGGGAAATCATAGATGTCATAGATATTTGAAGCCAACCAGTATCAACCAGCTATGGTTGAAACGGTAGTCTATAGATTTATGGCCGTTCTCCCCAAACTAACATCAAAACCACAAGGATCACACACAACGCACAAAAAAAAAAACACCTTGCGTTCAGCAAGGTTTACCCTCTGGCAAACTAACATAGCTATTGAAAATCACCATTTTATAGCTGGGTAAATCAACTATAAGTGGTCATTTTCAATAGCAGTGTTAGTCATTACCAGAGGGTAAGTCCCATAACTTATAGTTGATGTATCTATTTAAGAAAACACGGTTTTCCATAGTTTTTGGTTCGTTAGAGGGTCTCCTCTCGACAAAAACCAGAGCTTCACCGCCACTTAGTTTCCCAACTTCAAGGAGGCGCTGTCTCGCCTGGCGGCCGGGTTTTTGTGGCGATCTTTGAAGATTGATGGCTTTGATTTACCCACTGGTAATTTAACATAGCTATGGAAAATCACCATGTTTAATGGGAAAACTCACTATAAATGGCCATTTTCAATAGCTAAGTTAGTTTACCAGAGGGTACCAAACAATGGGCTATAACATGGTTTGTTACCAATGATTTTCTGGTTTGTTTACCATATTTATATCATATATATATATCATTGGTATATCCCATAGAAGAATGCAACATGGCTTGCCATATCGGGAAATGAATGAACATTGACATTCGCCATCGAAATTCGGAGTACCGAAACCGAGAGTTTCAGAGAAAACCATGGCCGGTATATCCATCGTCCCGTTTCAGAAAACTGGAGCGTTACCTGCAGTAAACTCATGTAGATACTGAAAACTTTCGCCATTTGTAGATGATTTCCTAGTGTTTTTGTTCAGGGATTTTCCACCATCCATGGGTTAATCTACTGGAAGCTACCAGTCTTTCGAGGACTAGCTGCCAGAATCTGCCAGAACACATACTGGACCACTAGGTCCATACCAACTACTGGTTGATGCTTGAACTACCCCTCTGAAAAATATGATTTCGTCAGTTGGGGTTTTTATTCCCAATATATGGAACAATAATCCAAATGTTCCAAACCACCAACCAGTGATAAATAAAGCCTAGTGTGCCATGGTCAATCCTACTCCAAATATAGAGGTTTCATATCTGGTTGGTGGTTTCAATCCCTCTGAAAAATATGAAAGTCAGTTGGGATACCAGAACTAGCCATTTACAGCCAATAATCTACCCCAATGATCCCCAGTTGGCTACACGATAACACTCGGCATCCAAACTGACTCAGTTGTCTGGAACAGATGATGAAACTGAACCAAGTCTAATTGGGACTGTGATCCTGAGAATGACTTCAAAGGTGGCCAGATACTTTGGGATCAGGCTAAGCTACGCCTACGCTTGAAAACGTTCCTTGACAGCAAGGAGAGGGTCAGCCAAACTACCTGGAACTACCACTTAAAATCATCACACATCAATGATGCACCTGCAGAACCAACTATAAAATACCATAAAACACACGCGATTCCGCCGCTAGTATCATTGGATTGGTTTGAGGGAAAATCTACAGGAAACCATGGTTTTTACCATCAAATATAGGGCTTTCTTGTAAATTTTCCCATCATCCAATTCTATGATAGTACCAATAAATCAATCATTTCTAGAAATAGTTACATTCCGCAAACTACCATGAATTTCCACCACATAATCCTGGATCGCAGCTGGGTCAAGTAGCCAACTATTTCTGGGTCATGATATATCTTCCCAAATAATTAGGGGTCATCATACCCACTTTTATGAACCCCAAGTGGGTATGGTGACTATTGCAATCGTCCCACAGTTGTATATATCATATATCCCATAATTATCTCATAATTTTCCCATGACTATCACTTGTATTAATCACAAAACGATGCCGAAATTTACCAAACCAGGATGATATGGATAATTTCATAAGGGGGTGTCCTAAAATATCGGTACCCCTAAATCATCCACTTGTGATTTTCCCTTATAAACCATCCAGCTAGCAGCTATTGGGCATCCCCATGACTATGGAAACACCCTGTTTTTTTACTGCATATTTCCAGGTGTCCCAATGTGTCTGACTTTTCGATCTGTTTGATCAGTGTTATATCTCGTAATCGAACATCACCATGCAACATGTGTTGTTGAAATCAAACTGTATTACCAGAGGGTATAATCTATGGTATTCTTGTAGCTTACACTTCTATTTTTCCACGATTCATCCATTAAATCAGGTTAAATCCCAAAAAAAAATCACTTCTCACGGTTAAATCCCAAGAGAATTTCTTAGAAATCCCAAATCGCCTTGCCCCTGCCCGGGCGGCAAAAGCCGCCTCAAATTGCGCCACTCGCGTTGTGTGAGGCACCAAACCTGGAACCCAAAAAATAACTTCTGGCACATGTTCTACTCGTAAATAGAACTAAAAAATCATGACATCGATCATTGATTCACAATTGGTGTTTATATAATAGTGTTAATTTATGCATGGTATTGTCAAAAAATGTTCATTTTTTTAAAATTAAAGTCATGAAATTCTACTCACAAATAGTTGATGATATGATTACATGTTTAATTTGGATGTTAATTTGACGATCCTCGAGCCTTGATTTTTTGCTCATTTCATGCCATTTTTAGGGGCGGTTTTGTGGTCCGCAGCTCCCCAAATGAATTGATTTCATGTCTAGTGGTTATGTATAAATTACCAGCATCCCCAAAAACTCAAACCCTAAGGGAATGGCTGGAAACCACCAGGGGGCAACTTCACATGATTTGGGTGTGTCTCAAAAATAGGCATACCCCAGAAGTAAGAGTCTCAATGGGGACAATGATTACAAACATTACAATTTTCAGCAGGGGATTGGGAGTTCCAAATATACAAACCGACGTTTCCCTGAGTTGCATGGGAGTGGCACAAATAAATGTTGCTCTCAAATCATCTACGATATTCGAAAGAAAACCTTTCAGTGGATTCATCCAAGGGAAAGCCTACGGTGCCTACAGGCGTTTTTACCCTTGTATCCGGGGTGCGACTTCAATGTTTCCATGATTTAGTTCTGGGAACCTTGAAATTGAACTGCAAACCTATTGGAACACCAAACCGTTGGTGAGCTTCTCTTGCACTTAGGGCATGGATGCAGGTTTGTGAACCTGTGAATTTTCTTGTTTCGCCATGGTTTTGGTACAGGCGATGTCATCAAGCAAATTCCCCTGTTTTTGTTTTTGTTTGTTTTTCTTATCATGTTTCTTTGTCTTCGTCTTTTTGTGGTTGCTCTCATTTGTTGCTGTGTCTGTCTGTTGCGCTTGTTGCGCTTGTTGCGTTTGTTGTGATTGTTGTCGCTTGCTATGCTTGTGCTGTTGCTGTTGCTGCTACTGTTGTTGCTGTTCTTCTTATTATTATTCTTCTTCTTCTTCCTATGCTTCTTCTTCTTCTTGTTGGTCTTGCTTTCTTGTTGCTGTTTCTGCAATTCACTGAAGCAGGCCTTTACGCAACAATTTGTACAGCAGGTCAGGTGTATTTGAATGACTTCTGTGGCAAGTCATTGTGACGCCTTTGGTCTGGTGAACGATGCAACAACCCCCTCAAATTTGAGAGACAGCATGGAAAGAGACGGTGACCCTTGTGATTGGTACATATAGTATACCAAAAGAACCACACTAATTTATAATTATAGCTGCCTATTACTTTCAAGTGGAAGTGATCATCACAACAATTCACCACACATCAAATCTCATAATATCATATGTATGTAAATGTATATTACATATATATATATATATACAATTCTATACATATACACACTATATCACTATATCACTATATCACTATATATATACTGGTTGGTGGTATACCTACCCCTCTGAAAAATATGAAGTCAGTTGGGATGATGACATTCCCAATATATGGAACAATAATCCAAATGTTCCAAACCACCAATCAGTGATAAATAAAGCCTAGAGTGCCATGGTCAATCCTACTCCAAATATAGAGGTTTCATATCTGGTTGGTGGTTTCAAGCCTCTGAAAAATATATTACAGTATATATATGTAAAGAAAAAAAAAACATCCTCAAATTGCCAAATCTTGAGACCTGGAGCCCGAAGGATTTTCGCATCTTGGAAGGGTCCAGCCTGGCGCAGCATGCAGTTCTGTTTTCCATAAATGGTGATAATATTGGTTAAATGTGGTTAATAATAGTGATTATGAATGGTTCATAGTTATATCATGATTATATCATAATCCATGAATCTGGGCAAATTATAGTAATTCAGCAACCTGAAATCTTCGGCATTCGGAGAAATCCCCTGGAATGCGAAGCATTTTTTCCGGTGAGGCCGTGAGGTCATTATAATGTACCCAAATAGATAATCATATGTTTATAATATTTCACAGACCTGAATTAAGGCCATTTGGGGATGATTTCCCTTACTAACCATGATTTCCAGTGAGGTCGTAGTGAGGTCGTTATAATTTACCCAGAATATATATATATATATCATCTTATAAATGGATATACTGGGACATTATTTGGAATATCTTTTGGATATCTTTTGGATATCTGATATGTCAAAAACCCTGGGGAGGCCGAAAAAAAAACAAAAATCAGACAAAAGCCACATCCGGTGGTTCCAGACTGTATCAAATCTGCGTAGCCTCTGGTAAAAAGGGACCTAACTATGACAAAACACCATGCAATAGCTGGGTAAATCATGGTAAATCCACTATTTCGACTGGGCCACTTTCAATGTCGCTTTTTGTATGTTTACCAGAGGGTACCTCAAGCTCACCGACAAATCAATGATCATCTCCCCAGTTCCAACCACGTCGAGTGAATCTCTTGGAACCGCTTCAAAGTGGACTCAGCCGCTCAGCCAAAAAAACCATCCAAAATCACAAAATCCCATGTCTGTTTGGTTTGGATCTTCACATGGCTTTCCATAAATGGCTGTATCCCCATAGCTGGATGGTTTATAATGGAAAAGCCGTCATTAAAATAGATGATTTAGCCCATGACGGATCCATGGTGCTGCTATATATGGTAACATGGATCCCATCAATATACCCCAGTCACGTTAGCATATATATATATATACCAGCACCATGGATCCTATGGGTAGGGGTATCACCATGACAAAACGGAAACCCCCCATCATCGCCATCGATGGCCTCTGCGGCGCGCTCTGTCCGTCCGCGCTGGGTCGGAAGCTGCTGTCGCTTCCTGGGGGAACGGAGCTAAATGGAGCGAAGGGAAGGGCTTGGAAAGGCGATTGGCTGGGTGAACGTTGGTTTATGGTAGCTGGTTTTCTGTTGTTTTTTTTGTCCCTATGTAGTTGGGTCATAGCTTTTTCTAAGAAATAAGGTTTAACTAGTTAGATATTCTAGTTACCTATCATGAACAGCCATCGGATCCCATGCACCGATTCTAGTTAATGCGGTTTGTGAGACTCTATGCTTTGCGGTAGATATAGTGTTTACATATAATGTCTATACTTACCCATGGTTAAAGACATGAATTTAATGCCAGCTGTACTTGTACGTAACATAACAAACATGTTTTTTAGTAAATGATTTAGGTTATGTTAAAATTCTAGTTTACCCGTAAGGTTCTTTAATGTGGGCCAACTTTGGTTCATGGTAGATGTATCTTGGTGGTTCATCCCACCACAGGAATCGAGAGAGTTAACGGTGAGTTCACCACAGTGACTAAAGTGGATTAACCTGACTTATCCCACTTCTAACCGGGGATATTACCTACTTAGTATTATATATGTATACAAGTGGGATGAGAGAGCCACCCCCTCACCGGAAAATTGATTAAAGCCTTCATTGTCGATCCAAAATCATAAAAATAGATTCAATACACAGAGGAGGGATTCATTCAACTATAAGAAGGTTTCATGAGATAATATCACGATATCACCTATAACTGGGACAAAAAAAATTGGGGAAAGGACATCTATGGTCCCAAGGCCACTGAAGAATCGTCTACGGGAATCCCATATTCATGGCGTCTGACACCGAAATTTCAGGGTTTCATGATCAGTTTCCCTGCTTGAACACCTACTTTTGGCTGGTTGGTGGTTTTAATCACCTTGAAAAATATTAGCCAATGGGAAGGATTATCCCATATATTATGGAAAATAGAAAATGTTTAAAACCACCAACCAGTTGGGGATATCTACTATTTACTATTTTCATACCCATATGTTGGGGCCGAAAAAAAACATCGGACCTTGGCTTGGATGTGCCACTTACACCCTCTGGCTATTTAAGATAGCTATGGAGAATGAACCAAATATATAGTATAGATGATTTATGATGATTTACCTACTACAGTAATCCTACTAAAAATGGTAATAGTCCAGTTCGCCAGCCGCGAAATTTCCAGTGGGTACATCCCATGATATCTCATTATCAAGATTTCCCATACCCTCTGGTAAAATAACATAGCCATTGAAAAAGTTGATTTACCTATATACCCATTAAAAATGATGTTGTTCCATCGTTTTTTGTATATTAGCCGATTATTTCTATGGGAAGATAAAGCGACCACTGTCTGACGACCAGCGAACTTCGCCCAAGCGTCTGATCCGACTCTTGTCCACAAAGGATTCCAGCTCGCGCTTTGGCAAAGTCTCCATGAGGAACATTACCTCGAATGTTAGCTATTGGGAGAATCATTGCGAGAATCAGTGGGGAAATTTGTTGGGGAACAATGTTTAAACCATCCCATGTTCGATGCTTTTTCCGGCATGGTTGGAGACAATCGTAGATGTTGAAAGTTTCAAAGCACCAAGCGGGACATATTCTGAAGTTACCCTCTGGTAAACTAACATTGCTATTGAAAATGGCCATTGAAATAGTGGATTTACCCAGCTACACAATGGTGATTTTCCATAGTTATGTAGCAGTTTACCAAAGGGTGAGTTTTTAAGGGCGTTTACAGATTCTAGAAGGATTTCTTACCGCAGTACAAATGGTTACTGTAGAGATCACTTACCTCCCTAATCCCAAGAATCTCGGTGCCCAGCCAGCCCAGGATTGATAAACCGCCAGTTGGTTCATTATTTGGGTGACCCTTCCCTATTTATGAGAATATATATATATATTTAAATATATATATATATTGATGCTCAAGTCTGGTTGCTTCGGGCTTCTTTCGGGTTGATTTGAGGGTTGGTTTAGGTTCGAGAAGCGAAGAAGAGCAGAAAAGCAAGGAAAAGCAGAAAAGCAAAAAGCAAAGAAGCAGGGATACAGGAGTAAAAAAAAACTGAAAACAATAAGTCCCCAAACAAATAGCCCGCCATTTATAGCTTAGAACTCCAGTAAAAAATCACCAGTTGATGTGGTAAACCCATAGATAAACAATCCCTAAGTCATCAGCATTTTTATGGCTTATATAAACCATCCCCATGACGGCTTTATGGCAGTCCCCATGACGGATCCTCAATGGATCCTCCTTCGTGTCGTCGAGGGCACATAGTCGGCAGGATTGTAGTCCCGCGGAACCGTGCGACCCGACCTGGATCCGAGGCTGTTGATGGGCCTAATGTGGTTAAAACATACCATTAATGGATGATGTCTACTATATTTAGTGGATATGATATAGTTATATACCATTCATACTCTCATGGTGTATATAAATCATGAATGTGGGTAAGACAATGCCATTTTTTTACCACCCATGACTGGGAAGAATAATCATACCACCTATAAACATGGCGATGACTGGGGGATGGTGCAAATGGCATTGTTTTACTCAATGTTCTGCTGAAGTTTCAGACATCATTCCATGCTGAGGTGAATATTGAGGTTGCTGCAAGTTGAAACCAACGAAGAGAGGTACCACAAAGGTGCTAAACACGAACTGTTGTCCTGTTGAATCTCAAATTGCTTCAGAAATGTTGACCTATGCCCAGTTGATGTTGGAGAAAATCGAATTCCTCCCGCAAGTCTCTATCACTTGCGCAAAAAACAGCGGCGAGCAAACATGATGTGCACAGATGTGCATCCCGGCTACTATAGATGGATTCTATAATAACATGTATTGCAACAAGTAATTATATATATAATTATATAATACTTCCAATTATATAATATTCTGGTTGGTGGTATACCTACCCCTCTGAAAATATGAAAGTCAGTTGGGATGATTATTCCCAATATATGGAATAACCAAAAATGTTCCAAAGTTCCAAACCACCAACATCCACCAACCAGTTAAGTATGTCCCAAAGATTCCTCAGATATTCCCAGTGTTCGTGGAAAAGCTCTAGTCCCATACTCCCATTTCACCCCTATTCCAATACCAGGGAAAATAGAATGGGAATTTTCGTGTCCCGAGTCCCGGAAAAAACATCCATGCCTCTCAAGCCACCGAGAGAGTTCGGTGGCGGAGCCATGGTAGATGGCACGCTGATGGCACAGACAGATAACCTCATTCCGAGGCGATTCTGGACGCGAGGTGCAGCTTTTGACCGCAACCTCTGCGCATGGCTGTGTCTGAAAATGCAGTTTTACTAAGGATGATGACGATTCACCACTGAATCTTTGGGTACCCTATTTTCAGACAAAGCATGAGAAACCCTTGTATAAATGGACATTTTGACGAACGAAAGTTGAATCACTCTGGCTGAATTAGAAGAATTCACCAACCTGAAAATTTGGGGATGAGGATCTGGGGATGTTTCTCCACCTAATCATCCGACGGAAAACGAGTTGAGGTGATGAGTTCTTCATTCGCCAGCTGTATCCCATGAAATCCCAATCTCCAGTATCCTACCGCTATTTTTACCATGAAAAATCCCATTAGATCCCAGAAAATCCAACTAAATTCCTAGTAAATCCCAATAAATCACCATTAAATCCCACTAAATCCCATTAGATCCCGTTTCATCATTCAGCACTTTGGGATTTACCGATGAACCAACAAAGAAGCGCCCGCAACGCATGGAGCTTACGCAGGACATAAACGCGCTGGGACTGGAAAGTTGGCATCGCCTTTAAATCCCAGTTGTTGATATATATATATATACATATTAATATGTATATGCAAACAAGATATATCATATTTAATATAATATAATATAATGTAATATAATATAATATAATATAAATATATATTAATATTATATATATATTAGACATGTGGGTTTGTCGGACTAAACCTGGCGTAGCACCAAATTTAATGGATCATCCATTCCATCATGAACTGGCCACTTGAGGCTACACCCCAAGTTCAGACACAACCATATAAAATCATGTCATGTACTGTAATTATCAAATAATTGTAGATAATATATGTCAATAGTATAGTGGTTGGCAGCTTCAACCCATCCCATACATGTCCCTCTTATCTATATTTCCAAGTAGCATGGAAGATTAGCAATGTGTGACAAACCACTAAAATTACAATGTCCCTGGTTGTTGATGATTATAGTACATCAGGGTAACCACTAAAATTACTATTATAATAATATTAAATATTATAAACAATGTTGATTATATTAATATTATTGTATTACAAACCACTAAAATTATAATGATATGGTGTTATACTAGGTTACTAGGCGATTTACGTCCAGTAAATTCAACATGGAACCTGAAACCTGGTCCCGAAGATGGCTTTCTTATTGGATATGGCCATTTTGGGGGTCCATGTTACATTTACAATGTGAGGCCCCCCAGTTATGTTTGTTGGTTTATAAGCCCCAGTAACTATAGTTATAAGTACCATAAACCATAGTGAAATTGGAGTTATGTTCACCAACTTAGCTATCGTGGCCGGGGGCCTCACATTGTAGGGAGATGTAGGGAGTGTATATCATAGTATGATGATCATCCAGCATGGGGAAACCAGGGAAACCATGGGAAACGACGGGAAAACGATGGGAAAGCTACTCTCAATGCCACCCTTTTTTCCCCAAAAAAAAGGGGGATGACGGATCGGCGACCTGGACATCCCTCACCCGATAGCTGTGCATCCCTCACCCGATCCAACAAAGCAAAAATCTCCTGGAATCATGTGGCTGCGATGAGATTCATACAATGTGAGGCCCCCGGCCACGATAGCTAAGTTGGTGAACATAACTCCAATAACTCTGGTTTAAGGTACTTATAACTATAGTTACTGGGGCTTATAAACCAACAAACATCCCTGGGGGGTCTCACATTGTATATTATTCAATCTTATATCATGATAAAATAAAACAGGACTATTTGGTAGTTTCGAGCCCCCAACATAGGAGAGACATGTGGGATCATCATCTGATTTGATGGAACATCTTCAAAATACGTCCGACCACCAAACAAATGATACAACATGAAACAGAAAGGGGAACTACGCGTGGGGAAACGAACTGCAACATGAAAAGAAAAAACGTCAAATCCTGAAGGCTTTTCCGGAACAACTCTTTGTGAACCCAGGCACATCTATAATATCCTCTATATTCAATTCTATATATATATATATTTATAATTTGGGACAGTCCACTTTTCATACCCTACATGCACACACATTTTCTATCTTAAGTTTTACAGTTTATGTGTGATCATGTAGATCAAACAAATTATCTATTTAGAATATTCCTTCAATTGATGCATCAATCTGTCATTGTTGTTTATGACATTTATGATTATGTAGATCAGTTCTTCCATTGATGCTTCACTAAACATTAGTCCCTGGTTGGTGGTTTTAACCATCTTGAAAAATATGAAAGTCAATGGGAAGGATTATCTCATATATTATTGCTATGGGTCAAAATTGGGTACCCCAATGATTAGAGGGCTCATACTAAACAGATACTTTTTCATCTGTGGTCATCCAGGTCTTTAATTTTGACCCATACCCTTATGGAAAACAAAAAATGTTTGAAACCACCTACCAGGTGAATATCTGTGAATAGTATGCTACACCCGATAATACACTATTCCCAATAGATGTGGAAACCACCAACCAGGACCAATTTAATCAATCAATCCACCACCATTTACGAGTCGACGCTTCGTTTTCGACGATCCGTGTCTCCAATTTATGTCTCCACGTACTGAGCTGAAAACACCTGGACTGATAGCCATCACAGGCGTAGACCATACCACTGTTCAATAGAAAATCAGTGTCAATCTCTTACCCATGACGGATCCATGGTGCTGGTATATTACTGCTAACATGACTGGGGTATATTGATGGGATCCATGTTACCATATATAGCATACATGGATCCTATGGGTTATCATTATGAAATATTATGAATATCTTTGAATATGTTGAACAAATTATGTCAACATCATGTGGTCTCAACAAGAAACCGCACCAATCACAGAGTAACCCCTAAAATCATAGAAGTTGGACAAACATAGTAATAAGTTCTTCACCGTTTCTGCATTTTTTCTTGGGGATGCTACCCACCTGACTACCACTTCTGCTCACCCACGCAGCCGGACACATTTTTTCGGATGGATTTTATTGTCTGTGGCAGGTGAATTTCTGCTGAATTTCCTCTTGATTCCATGATTTCGAGGTGCATGATAAATAGCAGTTAATTACCGTTTGATATCATCATATATTATATTTAGATATATTTGGATATATTTGGATATATTTGGATCTAGTTCTATTATGTTCTATTATAATTCCTAGCCT